GGGCAGCTGGTGGGAAGCACATGCTGTTCCACCAGCTGCGAGAATCATGGTGCCTCCAGAAGGGAGGGCCTCAGCTCCCCCACCAGAATTCATTATCCTCCTGAAAAGGCTTTTTTGTTTCTTTGGGACTTTATTTTCAAAATGCCTGTGTGCAGCAGTGCTCCAATCCTCTGTGCAATCTGAGAAAGAGGTAGCAGGTTCTGCAGCATCTTGGCTCAGTTACTGCCACCAACCACGACAAGGGAACACGGGGACCCAGAGATCTCATTATCTCCATAAATATTCGCTATGTTCCTCTATAAAGTAAGGAGTCATTAAAAATAAATGACCATACTCCATAATTTCTCTATGTAGCTCATTCAGTCAGAGCTTAAATCTTCTTGAGAGTCTCAAACCTTTTAGCATTTTAGAGTTGGTTTGTTCAAAACAGGATTCAATCCAAGTTCACATATTACATTTTATTGGTATGTCTCTTAAGTGTCCAACCTATGCTTCTCCTGCTCCTCCTCTTTAAAACAAGCACACACATAAATGAAAAAAATATTGTCCCGTAGAAGTCCCCACAAACTAAAGAGTTTCCTGATTGTGGCCATTGGTGTTCTTTGACTTCCTTTATTTTCTGCAAACTGATAGTTCTATATCTGAACCTGAATCTGATCATGCCTCTAATTATTTAGTATGGACATTTCACGGGTGGAACTATATGTACTTCCATTAGGAGGCTTATGATATTTGTTATCTCTTTTTATGGTTGTGATATATCTTAAGTTATAGTATACTGTCTGAATCTTAAGTAGGCAAACCAGCCAATCAATAGTTTAAGCTTTCTTTTAGATAAACTAAACACACACTCTTGTGTACTGACTCTCCCCCAAGCACATGTGCACACTTACACACACACACACACACACACTGGGTCTCTCCTATTACTAGAGAAGTAATGTGGCAACAGAAGGTCCCAAGGTAAGAGGTAGGCTGAATGGGACTGTATCTGATAGAATAGGATCTATAGACAATGTGAATGTATGGACTGATGAATGAAATAAAAGTACATAGAATTATATCAAAATGAATCCCATCTTCAGATATTTCATGTAACTGTATTAAATTTTTCTAAAATGTGCTTAAAACCAGTCAATGAGTATTAATCATCAGTTGATTCATGCAGATTTAGCTTTCGTTAAATATATATATTTATCCTCTCTTCACATAGTCCATAATTTATGAAGGGTAACAGACAATGCTAGCAATAGCTAAAGAATTTCCACACAGGGAAATCTCCTATAGAATGGGGAATGTAGAGTGTCCTAATACAACAGAAAAGCAAGATTTCAGATGTGAGAGATGGATCAAAATGCATCAAAATGCATCTGGAGTCTGGGTACGGTGGCTCACACCTGTCATCCCCAGCCTTTTTTTTTTATTTCAGCATATTATGGGGGTACAAATTTTAAGGTTTCAATAAATGCCCTTTCCCCCCTCCCCCCACAAGTCTGAGTTTCAAGCATGACCATCCCCCAGATGTGCACATCTCACTCATTATGTATGTATATACCCACCCCCCTCCCCCCTCCCACCTGCCCAATACCCTATTATTATAGCACCTATGTGTCCACTTAGGTGCTGCTCAGTTAATACCAGTTTGCTGGTGAGTATATGTGGTGCTTGTTTTTCCATTCTTGGGATACTTCACTTAAGTAGTATGGGTTCCAGCTCTAACCAGGAAAATATAAGGTGTGCTATATCACTGTTGTTTCTTAGAGCTGAATAGTACTCCATGGTATACATATACCACCTTTTATTAATCCATTCTTGGATTGATGGGCACTTGGGCTGTTTCCACAGCCTTGCAATTATGAATTGTGCTGCTATAAACATTCGAGTGCAGGTGTCTTTTTTGTAGAGTGTCATTGGATCTTTTGGGTAAATGCCCAGTAATGGGTTTGCTGGATCAAATGGTAGATCCACTTGTATCACTTTAAGGTATCTCCATATTGCTTTCCACAGAGATTGAATTAGTTTGCAGTCCCACCAGCAGTGTAGAAGTGTTCCTCTCTGTCGGCAACCAAGCCAGCATTTATTGTTCGGAGACTTTTTGATAAAGGCCCTTCTCACTGGAGTTAAGTGTTATCTCATTGTGGTTTTGATTTGCATTTCCCTGATGATTAGAGATGTTGAGCATTTTTTCATATGTTTGTTGGCCATTCTTCTGTCTTCTTTAGAAAAGTTTCTGTTCAAGTCCTTTGCCCACTTTTTAATAGGGTTATTTGATTTTTTCTTGCTGATTTTCGTGAGTTCTAAGTATATTCTAGTTATCAGCCCCTTATCAGATGTGTAGGATGCAAAAATTTTCTCCCATTCTGTAGGCTGTCTGTTTACTTTCATGACTGTTTCTTTGGCTGTGCAGAAGCTTTGTAGTTTGATCATGTCCCATTTATTTATTTTTGTTGCTGCTGTGATTGCCTTTGGGGACTTCTTCATAAACTCTTTGCCTAGGCCGATGTCTAGGAGAGTGTTTCCAACATTTTCCTCTAGAATTCTAATAGTTTCATACCTTAGGTTTAAGCCTGTTATCCAGCGTGAGTTGATTTTCGTGAGAGGTGAAAGGTGTGGGTCCTGCTTTAACCTTCTACAAGTGGCTATCCAGTTTTCCCAGCACCATTTATTAAAAAGGGATTCTTTTCCCCAGCGTATGTTTTTGTCTGCTTTGTCAAAGATTAGATGGCTATATGAGGATGGTTTTATTTCAGGATTCTCAGATCTGTTCCACTGGTCAATATTCTTATTTTTGTGCCAATACCAGATTGATTTAGTTACTATAGCTTTGTAGTATAGTTTGATATCTGGCATATTAATACCTTCCATTTTGTTTTTGTTGCCTAGAATTGCTTTTGATATTTGGGGTCTTCTTTGGTTCCATACGAAGTGTAAAATTATTTTTTCTATATCTGTGAAGAATCCCAGCCTTTTGAGAGGCTAAGGCAGGAGGATCATTTGAGGTGAGGAGTTAGAGACCAGACTGGTCAACATAGCGAGATCTTGTCTCTACAAAAATTTAGGAAAAAATTTAGCCTGGCATAGTGTTGTGTGCTTGTAATCCCAGCTCCTAGGAAAGCTGAGGCAGGAGGATCACTTGAGCCTAGGAGTTTGAGGTTACAATGAACTATGATTATGCCACTGTACTCCAGCCTGGGCAAGGTAGCAAGTCCCTTTAAAAAAATGCATTAGAGAAAGGACCTTGTGGTCAAATATATCTGTGAATTAGTAATTTCAGTTTTGAATAGTTGTTAAGAAAAAAACATTTATTAATGTGTTTGCTTATTTATTCTTTAATGATTTATCACTGATATGTCATGATGTAAATAACGGCTAAACATTTGACATATTATTTCATTGCATCCTCAACTATATGAGATGAATATGATTGCCCTTATTTTGTAGATGAGAAAACTGAAAAGTAGGAGTTCAACAACTCATCTCAGGCCATAGAGCTTTTCACTGCTACAATGTATCAGCCCATGATCTATTTAGATGAAGTACTTTTGTTTCAGAATAGGACTTTCTGACTTGATCACTCATTCCCTAGAATAACTACTTTAAATGTTTTCAAAAATATATTAATACTTTACAACCAAATTTATCCTTAAAAGATAAAAAGATTCCCTATATCTGGAGATATGAAAAATATAGACATACGCCTAGAAAAAATAGAGAAGAGTTCCAAAGAAGCTGGTCTTCTTTGGAAGGGGAAGCAATCCTACAGGTTGTGTGTAGCCTGGAAGCTGATTACCTTGAAAAAAAGACTGACTTGTATTGAGTCCTGTGGTTATAACATCTGCCAACTCTCTCCAATGATACTCTCCCCTTCTTCCTTTCATTATAAAAACTCATTCATTTTTCTTTTAATCATGAAGATTTTTCTAACTTTCAATCAGGAAGATTTTTCAAACATACACAAAATCGGAGACAAAGAGGAACTTGAGACTCATTACACATCAATCACTTTTATTTTTTAAATTTTGGAAAACTTCATGAATTTGCTTGCCACCCTTGTGTCTGGGCAGTGCGAATCTTCTCTGTATTGATCCACTTTTAGTATGTGTGCTGCTGAAGTGAGCACAACATCAATTACTTTTAACAAGTCAACTCGCGACCAATCATGTTTCATCTATATCCTTACCCATTTTAGTTTTTTTTCCATTGGATTTTTTAAAAACTTTATTGAGATACTCACATATCATACAACTCACACATTTAAAGTATACGATTCAATGGCTTTTCGTATATTTAGACATTCACTAACCTCACCACACCCAATTTTTGAACACTTATCATTCCAAAGTAAACTCTGTAGTGAGTGGCAGCCACTGCCCTTTTCCCCAACAACAACCAGCCCTAGCAAACACTAAGGTATGTTCTTTCTCAATTTGTTTGCTTATTTTGGACACAATATAAGAGACATTGCACAACATGTTGTCTTTTTTGACTTGCTTCTTTCACTTAGCATTAGGTTTTAAAGGTTTCTCCATGTTGTAGCATGTATTAATACATGCTACATGCAATAAATGTTTAGGGTCCATTTGGAAATGCTGAGTCCTGGCTTTTGTTCATGTCCCATCTTTAGTTGTCCCAGCATTTTGCTGGTGACGGATACGTTGGGCACCAGAAACATTCTCAGTCACCAGCGCTGCTCCGAAGCAGTCGCCAACTAGTTCCTGTGACAATCCTCCAGGCTTCGTTTTGAGGTCTTCTGGCACCCACAGACTGTCCTGAGGGCGCTACAGAAGATTCTCTTACCATCTGCAGTCAGATCTTTCCTCAGGTCCATTTTTCTATTTTCTGAGCCACTTTTTGCCATCTGATATGTTGGCCTCTCTGAACCAGTCCCAGTATTTGTGTCTGTGAAATTGTAAGGGCCATGATTTTAGTAGGGGCCATATCCTTGCCATAGTGTTGAGCTTCAAGTTGCTCTTTTATTTCTTGTGTTTGTATCTTTGTAGTGAGCATTTCAACAGAAAACATCGAGGCTTCCAGTGGTTTCTTAATCTGCTGATGATTTTCCATTTGGGTTTCTGCTGATGTCATGAACCTTCATTGTTTCCAGAGCATCCTGAAGTCATGTGCCAGCCCCGAGGTATGTGTGTCCTCAGTGTATGTGATAACCCTTTGTCCATAGCCTATTGGCAAGCTCGAGTGCACCCACAGAGCTTAAGCACGTTTTCCTCTGCAGTAAGAGGTGGCCTCTGAGGGTGAAGTTAGATCTATTATAGTTTATATAGCTCAAGACTTTCCTGTTTGAATTGCATAAACAATGACCAACCTGGACTTTTTATGGGAGTCTCCAACAATTCTGTTTGAGGGGCAGATAGCTAGTTCTGAAACCATCTGAACAGAGGTTAAGCAATCAGAAGGTTCCCCTTCTTCAGATAAAGGAAAGTGTGGTAGAGATCAAGATGCTACAGTTGGCTGGGTGCAGTGGCTCACGCCTGTAATCCTAGCACTCTGGGAGGCTGAGGTGGGAGAATAACTTGAACTCAAGAGTTAGAGGCCAGCCTGAGCAAGAGCAAGACTTCATCTCTACTAAAAATAGGAAAAATTAGCCAGGTGTGGGGGCATGCACCTGTAGTCTCAGCTACTCAGGAGGCTGAGGCCAGAGGATCGCTAGAGCCTAGGAGTTTGAGGTTGCTCTGAGTTAGGCTGATGCCGCAGTACTCGCTTAGGCAACTGAGTGAGATTCTGTCTAAAAAAAAATATGCTACAGTTGTAGGTATACATAGGGAGAAAGTAATACAATCTGTGGGGGTAAGTGGGCTTTCTCAGAAATATTGACTATGTTCAGTGAGCAGCAAGTAGTGTAGGGCATGAGGGACCATTATGCCAAAGGATCCTGTAGGGGTGAGGTGGCAGAGGCCTGCAGGTGCTTGGCTGCTGCTGCTGCTGCTCTGAGACAAGGTGAAAGGGTTTTTGCTGCTGGATCGAGAAAAAGGCTGCCATGGCTTTTTGTCTTTTTGTCTTTACCCAATCCCCAGAGAGCTGGGTAAAACCTGGAAGGTTTTGTTTATGAGTGAGCAGAAAGGTTTCGTGTTAGAGCCAGAGTGGGAATCTGTTGGACTGCTAATTTTAGGTCACAAAATATCTTCTCATATTTAGGTTCCTGATTCAGTTTCCTAGGGCTGCCATAGCAAATAACCCAAACTTGGTGACTTACCAAAGAAATTTGCCAGAAGTCTGAAATCAAGTTGTCAGCACATCCATGTTCCCTCTGAAGTCTCTAGAGGAATCTTTCCTTGTCTCTTCAGGATTCTGTTGGCTGCAGGCTTTCCCTGGCTTGTGGCCACATCATTCCAATCTACCTGTCTTTGTATGGTGCCTTGTCTCTCTGTGTCTCTTGCAAGGACACTTGTCATTGGATTTAGGGTCCACCCAGATAATCCAAGGCGATCTCATCTCAAAATCCTTAATTCAATTACATTTGCAAAAACATTTTTCTCCAATGAAAATATTTACAGATTGTGACACAGAGACAGAGCTCCCTGGGAGCCACCGTGCAATCCACTATAGTTCCCAAGCATGGGTGCTCTGACACTGAAAACTGAGTTGAAGAGGCGGAAGACTGGAGATTACAAAACATTAGGGACTGAGTTTCTGCAATAGGTAGTATGAACCCAAATCTCCTTTCATTGTCTCTTAGTGTTAGGATTGAGCAGTTCTGAATGGCTTATCCATGTGGGGGATTTACCTTCCTGGGGTAGGCCATGTCCTAAGTGATGTGGGTTGCTCTGTCAAAATTATAGTTCATAGGGTACAGACAACTCCTGACCTATATTTCAATTATAGAGATCCAAATAAGTAACCCAGCTAAGGCAGAGATTCTGACCATGTGTTGTAAACAACTCCCTTTTTTCCCTGGATCTCCATGTGCCCCTACCAGAAACTACTTCCTTTGCAGCCAAGATGCCTTACACTAACACCTCATGAACACGAGGAATAGTATTGAGGCCTGTCGTACAGACACCCTAATTCTCTAAATGCCCCATGCTGGAAGGGCCACGTGGCTGCAGGACGTTATGGCTGGATGGCGCCTCAGGGCAGAATCAAGTTCTACCATCCAGTGCTGCAATTCCTAGAGAATAAGGGCCTCTGTTCCGGTTCTGTGGAAAGGCTGAATGTCCCAGACTTTCTGATGCTCCCACGTCTACCCTCTTCCTGAGCTGTGAATCCAGTCCTGCCAAGACACACCCCTCTTTTTTTTTTTTTGAGACAGGGTCTTGCTCTGTTGCCCAGACTAAAGTGTAGTGTCATCATCATAGCTGACTGCAACCTCCAACTCCTGGCCTCCAGTGGTCCTGCTCACCTCGAGTAGCGGAGCAGAAGCCACAAGCCTGATTCTTATGTTGTAGGATGGTCTCAGCCAATTGTAATGGCCTCAAGGGGTATCCTCCAACGTGCTAGGATACAGGCGTGAGCCACCACACCCGCCAACACATCCCTCTGTGTCCTGTCTGAGCCAAGCAATGGTTTGCAGCTGTGATTTCCTCAAAGTAAAACTGAACAGTGATAGGTGAGTAGGGGCTTGCAGTTCATGGCAATTGAGCTAAAACTATTTTGGGAGAATCCCAGAAGGAGGAAAAGATGTGGCAGGTAATTTCTTGGGTGTGTGCCCATCTATCACCACAAAATGGGGGTGTTTGCTTTGTCCTAAAATACAAAGAATTACTTGGACACAGTAAACTGGGTCTTGGCCAAGATTCTCTTTCTTGCTTAAGAGACAGCGAAGAGAAAAGACTAAAAAAAAGAGATGTTCTGTGACGAACTTACAAGTACAGGCAGGCTACATCTCTCGTGTGTGATTCCCAGTGCACCCCCACACATGGAAGGGAGTGTTTATGAAGCTCTTATATCAGAGAGAATGGCCTGAAGAAAGGGTAAAAATATCTTCTGTCTCTTAAAACATTCTCCACTCCTTTTTGAGTTCTAAAAGCCAGAACCCCAGTCTCAGGCCATGGTTGAAAGGGCAGGGTAAGTCTTCTGTTATTTGTGGTACAGGAGATGGCCAGCCTGGACCTGGTAGAGGGAGGTCCTAGGAAGAGGTCAGGAGATTGTTTTCAGGGAGAAGGGATGATCAGAATCATCAACTGTAGTTAAACAGCAATTGCCTGAAGCTGCATGGCCTCCCTTTAAAAGCTCTGTATTTCTGCTTGCTAGGAGGACGATGGCATTTGAGACAGGAGCCTCCATCCTCCTCCTCTTGCTGGCAAAGTAATAAATTACTCTTTCCTTATCCTCAAACTGCCTGTTTTTGTTCTTCTGACTTAGCCGGAGGACAATTTAAGCTTTCAGTGACACTCTTACTGTGTGGTAAGCTGTTTTATGTTACATAACCCCTATATTTGCTAGGGTGTTGACATTTAATTTTGTCCAAAGTCATAGTTAATAAGGAAACTATTTAGCATCTTCTGATGAGATATGTACCCATAAAACCAAGCTCAACTGAAAAGGAATTACTAAAGGTGTGTCAAGGTGTGGATGGCCAATTAGACCCTCCCCCACCTTCTTCACAGTGTGTTTACCCTGGATGTTTGTATTAGAGGCTTTGATAGCTGAGAGAGCTGCCATCTCATCGTGACTCAGCTTTTCCCAAGCAAGAGCTTGGTCGAAGTCCCTCTGCTTTGCACCTGAGTCCACTTTCTTTATCAAGTAAATTCAAAACCTGAGATCAGGAAGGCGGTACCTTCTGTAGTTCCTTTCCTGCCCGACTGATATTTTTTTCTTTGTCCTCTAAAAGATTATTTGAAACTTCATTTTAAAGGCATGGAATGTTCAAGTTTTCTATTTCTTCTTCAGTGAGCTTAGTGTTTTTTCCAAAAACGTTGGTACATTTTATCTAAGTTGTTAATTCCATTGATTGAACTTGTTCATAATACGCCCTTCCTTATCCTTATTATTCATAGGGATACCACTCCTCTCATTCCTCACATTGGTAATTGGTGTCTTTCATATTGTTCCCCCCTGATCTGTCTGGCTTAGATTTTATTGATTTTTTCATATGGGCCAGTTTTGGTTTCATTGATTTTCCTCTATGTTTTTTCTGACTGTATTGAATTTCTGATTTTTATTTCCTTTCTTTCGCCCACTTTTGTGTTCATTTGCTCATATTCTAGTTTCTTACCATGGAAGCTCTGGTTGTTGATTTGAGATAGTTCCTCTATTCTAATAGTAGGGTTGAATGATATAATTTCCCTCAAGTGCTACTTTAGCAGATCTACAAACATTGATACATTTTTTCAATTTCATTAGTCAAAATACTTTCCTATTTACATTTGAATATCTTTTTGATGAAAGTGTTTAGAAGTAAATTTTTCTAGTTTCCAAGTATTTGGGATTTTTCTAGCTATCTTGTACTATTGATTGCTAATATAATTCCATGATAGTCAAAGAACATAGCATAGTAATGCTTAATTCCTTAGTTTTAAAGCTGGGAGAGAGATATTAAAGCATGTCTTACTGCAAGGTAATCTCAGGCAAGATTTGGTGGAAGGAGAGAAAGGGAAAATGCAAGAACAAAACACTGAGAAGTGAACCTGGATGGATCCAGCACTCAGGTGGGGCGTGGCCTGGGAAGGAGCACAGCTCTTCTCTTGCAGCAGAAGGAGAGGCAGAGAGTGGAGGTTAGTTGCAGGTGTGTTGATGCTTCTCTCTGAATGCACTTTTCTTTGAGGTGACAGATTTGAGGTCATGATCCAGAGGGACTAGCTGGCTGATATGAGGAAAGAATGGCGATATTGCAGAGAAGGAAAGTCAATTTATTAGGAAAAAACAGCATGTGCTAATAGAATATGTGGACTTTTGTGATTGAGCTTGTAATATAAAACAGCACAGTCGCTTCCTGTGATCCCTCCCCCAGCTGTCTAGCTACTGGTGCAGGCTGAGAATGGTGGTAAGGACATGGGTTGGGTTTGGGGAGGCTGCTACAACAGAGTGAAGGGTGTTTGCAAGGGGAGAGTTGTAGCACAGGGCTTGGCCCTGTTCGCTCTTTGAGATATTTTGCCCTCTCTTTCTACATTTAGGTAACTGATAGGGATGCAAATGCTGCCCTGTCTAGTGCTTATGGCTTTCTCCCCTCCGGGAAACACC